GTGTGGGTGTGGGTGTGGGTGTGAGTGTGGGTGTGGGTGTGGGTGTGGGTGTGGGTGTGGGTGTGGGTGGGTGTGGGTGTGGATAAAGAGAATCATGCCTATATACCCACACTCACACCCCGCCCACACCCCGCCCACACCCCGCCCACACCCACATCCCACACCTCAACTAGAATCTGCATTAAACTTGCTTCGAAGCCCCATTGGTAAAGCATTGACCAATATAAATCATGTTACAGGAAAAACGAATTTCTGAGGCTAAATAAAGCCGAACAGGTGAAATTTGAGCTGTATATCCTCCTAAGTCCTACGATTGAACAGTAGGCGATAGAATTCAAGGGTTTATAGAAAAGGTTTTCCAGGCAAATTTTTATATTCAGGCATTCTAAGATGACCGATTTGTCTCATTTACTTTTTGAAGTACACATAACTCTCGGACATCAAACCGAGATTTCCAGATTTATGAAGTAATTAATATAAGATTAACAATATTGAAAGTTTTGAATGACAAGCATAAACTAATAGATAGAAATTAAATGGTGTTTCAAATGTAATAAAACTATTATATGGCTATTTCTCTATGAAATATGACCGATGGTGAATGAGGACATTACTAACAGTTGCATACAATTAGTTTACGTTTATATTTCTTTTCATACAATCATTCCTTGTTGAAATAATTTATCATCATAAATGATTGGTTCTTGTCTAGATTATATCTGCCAAGGATAGTTCTTTATATATCCATGTATATTTATGTGTATTCGAATAAGATTCGAATATCATTTGTCAACAATGGCCTGCTTATTAAAATATACAAGTAACTCTTTGAATATATTTTTTATTTCATTCTATAGTTTTGTACAACGAAACTCATCCAGTTGTTTGATTTATCTGATGAGACAATTTTCATTTGAATGAGTAAAGTTAAATCTAGTAGCAGTCTTTTAAAACAAATTTTGGCAGATAAATTTCATTCATCAATATAGCTTATATCATTTTCAATCATTGTATCAATCATTGAAACTCAGCGTTAGGCATTTCTCCTCTATTATCAGTTTTACAGAGAAATACTGCAATGAAAATCTTCCGGATTGAAAACGTTACAAAATAAAACTTGGCAGATAACATCATGAAACAGGCACTCATTGCTATTAGACCTATCAATAAAATCATTCTCAGGTTTATATTTTTTAATTATCTTTAAATACTATCTTAATTTATTTTCTACTTAGAAAATAAAAGAAATTCTATGATTGGGGCATATGAAAACATCTTTATGTCACTTTTCTTTAGAAAAAAGCTCGAACACTTCTGCTATGCAGATTTCTACCAAGCGAGCTGAAAATTTTGCCATTAATAGAGGCATATTCAAGGTTTATTTCCATAAATACATGTCTAGGGAGACCAAGATGTGGGTGGGTCTACATGCCAACACTCCATACCCGCACTCAAAACAATTTTCCAGTGGAATATATACGTGTTTACACACACACACAATGCGGTTAGATGAAGGTATAGAGAAAGTAACTTTCCAAAAATGAATATTTGAATTTTCAATCTTTAGCTATTTGAAAGAAAAATAATTGAATAATTAAACAGTTCAAGCGAATGTTCAATAATTCATTTCCACTTTAAGATTTGAAAGGGCTGCCTGCTCCAGTGAAGAAAGCGGCAATAGCACCGGCCAGATTCAAAACGACACCAACGATTGTAACAGCAGCAGCTGCACCCACTCTTCCTTCAACAGCATCCATAACAAAACTTAGACCAACTGCCATCCCAATCAAACCGAATACAAAGCATACGATGGCTAAGACTTTTCCCACTAGCATAACTTGTGAGTTAAATTGATTCCTCATAAAAACAAAAACTAGGCATCCCACGGCGCAAGGAGTAAGAATACAGACCAAAGTCATGAACGCTCGTGTAGCCATTATTTTATCACAGAGTGAAGTACCAGTACACAGCTGAGCTGGAAAGTTCCATAGACCAACTCCGACCAACGATAAATCACTTGATCCCACAACCCTAAAACCATAAAAGATGAGAACTAAGAGTACTCCATAGGATTGAATCCATTTGTTTTAATGTGTTAGTCGATTTTAAACGAGATTTTGATGATCGTTTCTTCAATTGAGTAAAAGCTAGAGTGGTTGAATTTGTTGGTCGAATCGCGACGTCGAGAATTCGATATAACGGATCAAAGCAGTGAAATTTTTCCAGAGACAAAAATATTAGTTGACTATAGAATATAAGCTGGATTCTTCTTGAAATAGTTAGACTTTCGAATGACTATTGATTCTGCTTAATTTTTGGCAAGATCAAACAAAATGTTTTGTGTTGAAAAATGCCAGTGCTGACAAAATTAAGAAACTTACAGTTAAATTTCTATTTGATGATCCTTAAACGTTGAATATAATAACAAAAAGAAGATGAAAGGCTTTATATTATCATAAGTCTTCCAGATATCAACTTTACATTATCAGACAGAGTGTAGTATACGAACACTTACCATGATGGCGCTGCATTGCCCACAATATAAAAGATCCAAGCAACTGCAAGCAAAGCCGCTGTTATTAGTGTTAATGTTCGTGCGTCGGGCATTGTTCTACGAATCTAATTGTAGCTTTCTTGAAAGTTTCTAGAAAGAATAAGAAGCGAGAAAATCAGCAATATAGCACTGTTTTTATCAGTGAAAACTCATTTCAACGTGAAAGCAACAATAAATTTAACCAAAATTTTATGAGAAATATATTACTATCAAACAGAAAATATGAAAACTGAAATTATCGTCTTACAGATTGTTTCTTCGTTATCTTATATAGTCGTACTCAACAAATAAACGTAAGAATCAAAACACAAAACACTATTCTTCTTCTCAAATAAAGCGTGAAAAAAGAATGAATAGTTATTTCAGTTTTTTGAAAACAAACCATAAGTTGCATGAGAGTGCGTCGAAGAGATAGCTAACTACAGAACTGTTAAATGTTTCACAGTGCAATCCTAGGCAATGTCCTATTTCTGAGTTCTTTATTTTTGCACAAAAACTAAAACCTGAAACATACTTAATTTGTTTCTAATTATGTTGTTGATCATTATAACAAAACACTCTAAGCTTTTCATTTTTGGTTTTCATATTTCGACAATTACTCTCGAATGGAATAGAATATTTTGAAAGAAAAAGCGGCTTCACGCATCCATTCGGTACAATTGAAATATAAAAGAAGAACAAAAATGGTAGACAAGAGACAGATTCAAATATTGAACGCCTATTATGATGTCTAATCATAGTTTACGGAGGGATTAACTCATTCACTGACTAAACTATGAAAGCTTACTAGAATAAATTTGTTGAGTTATCCAATATAAAAGATATTCAACCCTAAAGAGACCTACTTCAAAGAATTTTTTTGCAATTTAAGTAATTAATATGAGATTGAAGATGCATCATTATAGCTTACTGGGTAACTGTGTTTCGTCCGAAGAGTATAAAATGAAGTATAAGAAAACAAACTGATAAAAGAATTGAAATAGGTGTGTTATTTATAGACGATAGATGATGTTAGAATTGTTTAGTGCGTAGAAAGATAAGCTTTAAAAACACTTCGAATTGTACGATTCACATTGCTAAGATACCATCTCTCAAATATCTACCCACAAATATACATGATTCATATCATGATAAAGAACTCAATAGGGTAACCATGTTTTCAGAGAAAATGATAAAAAAACCTCTTAAAGTTGTGTTGACAACATATATAGTTTGCCTAAGCAACATATGAAAAATATACTTTGGCCTTGTATTTTCGGCAAAATTAGTAATCATCAGTTCAGCAAACATTTATATTTATTATCGTAGACTTTGATAAACTCAATGATACTTATCATTTTTGTTATTTGCATATTATCTCTTTTCTTCGTTACTTTTTGCATATCTCTGTTCTTCCAATTTCTACAATCTAACCTTGCAAAAAAGAACAAGTAATAAAACTCATCAACAGTTGTCACCAACGATATAAAAATAATTGTCAAAGCAGGCTATTGTAAGGTTCTCGTTTTGGGAATGTAACTAATGGCTTCAACCCCCGTTGTTGACGTAGGCCGAAATATGAAATTTAAGGATCTAAGCCTGCTTATCTTGAGAGCACTCACAATAAAATGGTTACCGTATATTATTGTTCAGGTGATGGGATGTAAGTTGTAATAAAAAATTTTATGTTGGTGTTTCTGATATTATATTTAATAGATGATGATGATAGAAAATCACAGACGACACGACTAGATAATAACCACGACCAAAAGAAAAACAAGACTGAAGGTAGTTATCACAATAACTACAATCAAGACAAAAGGAGAGAAAGAAGAGAACCAAAATAGAAAGAAATACGAAAAACAAAGAATATAATAAAGTGAAAAAGAAAGAAGAAAAAGGATGATCACCATAAGAACATGATGGTCAATAGAACGATATATGTGTGTATACATTGCAGAAACGAAAGAATATAAATACATATATATGAAGTTAGCGTCATGTCGTAACATCAATGAACGCTAACAAACAAAACTTTAGTTTTATCTCTTATGTGAAAGTCGCGTATATTTTCGAAAAAAATAGTGAGTTAGTTTTCATTTCGAGCTTTCGCGGCTCCCCCTCTCTCCGATTCACCCCATTACAGACACATAGTAACGGGAAAGAGAACATTATAGACCTATCTCCTGTTACAGAATACCTCCTCTTCTCCCCCCTCCCCCCATTACAGACACCCCATCATTACAGACCTCAGCATCCAGTGGGAGTGTGGGTGTGGGTGTGTACGCGTATGGTACGAGCGGACATTCTTACCCCCGTTCATAACGCTACCCACATCCGACACCAACACCCCACCCTTATCTAATTAATCCTATTTTCGTTTCTTTGATAGAGACAGAATAGATGAACAGAACTATTATAAGAAAATTTCATTTCTCATATGATTTTCGATTATCCAATAAATTTGGCTTTCTTTACTTGAGAATGATCCAAATAAGTGGGCAGAAGTGTCATGAGAAATAATTCTTTGCTATGTCATCTTCGATTATCTGATGAGACTCAGCTTCTTTTGTTGGAAATGAGAAGAACAGATGAACAGAACTTTGATCAGAAATATTTCTTTGTCATATGATTTTTCGATCAACTAATCAATCTTATTTTTGTTTCTTCAAATAAGTAGGAAAAGTGAAGAGAACTATTATGAGAAATATTTATTAATCATGTAATCTTCGATCATTGAATAAATCTCTCTTCTTCTTTTCTTAATATGAGTAGTGGTATGGATGAACAAAATTATGGTGATCAATGTTCATTTGTCTCATGATCTTCAATCATCGAAATAAGAAGAACATGTCAACAGAATTATGATCAGAAATGCTTATATGTTATGGAGTCTTCAATTTCCTACAGGATGAGAAGAATAGACGAAGAGAATCATTGTTAAATATTTATTTGGTATTTTTATTGAATTTTAGCAATTGTTTTATATCGATCTTTGATCAAAAGTAAGCAACGTATGTGAATAGATCTATGATGAGAAACATTAATTTCTTATGTAATTTTCAATTCTATGATAGATTTAACATTATTTTCTTGAAAATGATCAGAATAGATAAATGGATTCATTGGTGAAAATTTATTTGATATTTAGATAGCCACTGATCGATAGTTTTAAAACCAGCTTTGCGGGGTGAGTGTGCGTGTGGGTGTGGGGTGTGGGGTGTGGGGTGTGGGTG